TGTCTTTGGCTGAAAGAAGGCTTGGGTCAAATTCATTCAGGCAGGATCCACATGTCGCTATTTCAGGGTCCCAGCACCCCAATACCTCAACAGTAACATCTGAGAGAATGGAGCAGGAACCCAGACAGGGGGTAGGCATAAGCAGAGCTCTAGGACTATAAATTCTGCAAGAATACTGGCTGAGGAAGGAAAAAAGCAACATAACAGGAAGAGAACTGTGGCTAGGCTATGCGGGAGCCACATGGAACAGATGCAAAGGGGCAGGAGCCATTCAAGTTACTGAGAACAGAACTGGCGATTCTTCAGTTTTCCAGCATTTGCTTTAACCCTCACTCTCTTGCTCCTTCAAGTAAAAAGAGGAGCCTGTATTCTCAATACTGATTTCTCAAGAGATAGTTTGTTTTCTGCTCTCTATTGTTTTAAAAGAAATTGTTTTCTCTGTGATAAACTGGTTAACCATAATGGTGTTGATCAATGCTGGGAGAGGGTGTTGGCAGCACGAGGGGTGTACATATGTGTCTTTTCATAAATAGGGGCAGAGGGAGAGGGTAAGTACATAGAGGAAAGACAGAAACAGATGTTTTTAACTTCTGGGATCTTTCTTGGCATAGGAATTTGGAGATAAGCAAAAGGGAGAATTATTGACTCATAGTTTTAGAAATTCCCTGAGCAGGAAAAAAAAATCATGTATCCAGATTCATTCCTAGGAAAAAGAGAAACTACGGTTGGCTTGAAGAAGTTGTAGGTAGCAGGAAGCTGGTATTGCTGTGGGGGCCACCTCAGGTACCTCCTCTTTCCCATTTTCTTCCAGAGGCAGATTTGGAAGTGAAATCATTCTCCCTGGGGCAAAGCCAAGGGAATTGAGTGGAGATAAAGTCAAACTCAAAGGGAGGGGCTGGAAAAGAATGGCACCACCCACTCTAGGAAAACGTGAGGAGCAAGGTGGAAAGGAAAGGGAATAATTACTCCTCTCCTCCCCAGCACCTACTCTACACTCACACAGCTGCTACACTTATACATTATAAATGCAGGAAAGGGGAAAGAACACTAATTAATTAGAAGGATGAGAACAAGTTTTTCTAAGAGAGGGCATATAAACTGAGCCTTGAAGTAAGCTAGGGATTCTCTTAGATGGAGCTAAGGAAGCTAAGGATCCCTGAGATCTGGTCATGTTCTTGCAAATAAATAAAATTTCTATTCAAGCAGGTCGCTCTATTTTTGTACTCCATATCCCTATCTGTAAAATCAAAATAATGTCCCTTATTATTTTCTTCGTAACTGCAAAGCGAGGAAAAGTGGTAAGAGCAGAAAACATCTCAGGATCATAGATTTAGAGGTAATAGATATGTGCCCTGATCCTCAAAAAACACAATGTATTACTTTTTTTTTTGGTTTCTCCTCTTTTTGTCCTCCAAATAATCCACGTCCTTTCCTTTCCTGTGATGCTTTATATTTGATCCCACTGAAGCCCTTCTGAAATGTCAGCACCAAAACCAATTCAACTATCAAACTTTAGATTCCTCCAATGAGTCATTTTGGGTTCCATTTCCTTTGCAACTTTTAGAGAGAAATATTTAAACAGTGAGTCTCCAAGAAGATGGGAATCATTCAATTATGTCACATCTTCTCCAAAAGGATTGCATAAATGAGAAGCCACTGAAATGCTAATACAGTAAAGTTGCCCAATGTCACCCCTGGAGAGTACTTGGCTGTTTTCTATGCGTGTCAGCCCATCTCCAGCCCCCATGCCTTTGCAGTCTATCTCCCATGTTGGGACTGCTGTTCCAACTCACCTCTGCCTTTGGGAATCCTTAACTCTTTTGGAGAAGAAAATGACAAACCACTCCAGTATCTTTGCCAAGAAAACCCCAAATGGAGTCATGAAGAGTCAAGCACAACTGAAAAAACTCAACAACAGGACTCAATCCATGAGCCATCTCCTCTTCCAGGACATTCCTGACCTACTACACTCCCCACAATTGTTAATACTCCTTCTCCCTGACAAAATTGCCTGTTAGCTTTTATATAGTGCTATCTCCTTTGATCCTCACTTCATCACTGTGAGGCAAATGCCATAAATTATCCCCATTTTACAGGGGAAAAAAGAAACAGGCCTAGAGAGTTTAAATAATTTGCCACGGTCACACAACTAGTCTGAGGATGTGATTCAAGCTCAGGTCTTTCTAACTCCAGGTTCAGCACTCTGAGGAAACTGGCTGTCTCATTGTTTTTTATTTACCTTGTTGTTCATTCTCCCAGTCATGTCTGACCCTTTGTGACACTGTGGACCATATCTTGCCAATACTGTCCATGGGGTTTTCTTGGCAAAGACACTGGAGTGGTTTGCCATTTCCTTCTTTAAGGAAATTAAGGCAAATAGAGATTAAATGACTTGCCTAGGGTCACACAGTTAGAAAGTGTCTGAGGTCATATTTAAATTCAGGTCTTCCCGACTCCAGACTCCAACTTAGCCCTGCCTCCTTATCTATTTATCTATGAATACGTTGTATCTCCTCAAGGCAATATAAAGCCCTTGAAGACAGGCACTGTTTCATTTCTGTTTTTGTTATCTCCAGCACGGATGCCCTGTGTATACTAGGTACTTAGTAAATGCTTATTGGACTGGAATGGATTGGATTGGGTCTTAATGGACTGGACTGAACCGAACTGAACTAACTGAACTAAATCACGATGAAGTTAATATAGTGCAGCTGGGAAGAGTATTAACTTTGGACCCAAAGGGCAGGCCTATGCTCAAGTACTGGATCTGGGCCACTTACTGCATAAAAATATTTGTACTGCCTAGCTCGTAGGGTTATCGTGAGAATTAAGTGAGATAATGGATGCAAAGTGCTTTGTAAATCATGAAGTGCTAAGTCATTATATCTGCAGATAAAGCCAATTCTGCCTCCATCAGAACTGTAGACCAAATTATACACTTCGAGATGGATCAGCACCAGCTCATTGTCCCTCTCCCTATACATACACACACGCGCGCACGCGCGCACCTGTACAGCAGACGTAAATCTTATTCTGCAAATTTTAGAGACAAATTTTAGATAGATCTGTACTAAGGAAGGATAGAGAAGGTTTAGTATCTGGTGTGTTTTCTTGGTCACTCCCATAATGACCCCTCTTTGGAGAGTTTCCTTGCCCCATTTCCAAATGGTAATGAAGCATCTTTGCCAGCAGCTTTGAAGGCTAAGCTCTAAGACAGGTACAGCCACATCTAAAGAAAGAACTTCTGGAGAGGGTGGTGGGAGGAGTTGTTTTTTCCAAGCTGTAAAACAGGAGGCGGGCAAGATTGTCCCCAGGGTAAGGGAAATAGGGATAAGTATTTTGCTTCCACATTTTCACGGAGCCTTTGTGTCTTTCTGGACCCCAGATTTCTACTTGATGCATTCTCAAATTGATTAAGGTGCTTGTTGGGTTTCCTCCATAGGAGATGGGAAACAGACAAACAAAGAGAGACAGAGAGATACACACAGCGAGAGACAGAAACAGAGACAGAGACAGGGGGAAATAGGGGCAGAAAGAGAAACAGACAGAAAGGCAGAGGTAAAAGAGGAGGTGTGGGGGAAAGGAGGGGAGAGAGAGGCATAAAAAAATGGTCTTGGAATCAGGAAGATCCAGGTCCAAGTCTCACACTTATCATACATTTTGGTTCTGTAACCCTGGGCCAGTCCCAACCTCTACATGTCCCCAGATGTGGGGCATGTCTAAGTCTAAGGGGCAGAGAAGGGGCTAGTGCTCTGTTAGGCATGCAAATGTCTTCTTCAGGAGATCTCTATCCCAGTGAAATCACAGCTGTGGTCCAGTCTTGGTAGAAAGTCCTCCCCTAGAGGAAGATCCTTCCACCAATAGGAGATGGAATCTTTCTTTGCTCCATAGGTTTAAAACAATGAGTTACCTGGGAAGTTAACTGACTTCCTCCGGCTGGTGTGTCACACGTGAGACTTGAATCCAGGCCTTTCTAAGACCAAGACTAGTTCTCTAGTCACTGCATCATGGTGCCTCCCAGGAAATATTTAAGAAGGGCAAATTGAATAAATATAAACTGAGTTTGGGGTCAGAAGGATATATGTTCTTGACTGACCCTCTTATTCCTTCTATCTATGAAAGAATCTGACTTATTAGTATGGCTACAATTAATTGGAAAGTTTGATTGAATTGACAATTTGGAAAATTCAGGTCTATGGATGAGTTATTGGTATGGACTTGGATATAGATATATCTACACATATATACAATATATTGTGATACATTTTTTGTTGTTCAGTTGTTTCAGTCATGTCTGACTCTTTGTGACCCCATTTGGAGTTTTCTTGGCAGAGATACTGGAGTGGTTTACCATTTCCTACTCCAGTTCATTTTACAAATGAGGAAACTGAGGCACACAGGGTTAAGTGACTTGCCTAGGGTCCCACAGCTAGGAAGTGTCTGAGGCCAGATTTGAACTCAGAAAGATGAATTTTCCTGACTCCAGTCCTGTCACTCTGTCCACTGTGCCACCTATAATTGCATATATACACGGAAGTGGCAAAGATGGCCCAGGACTCAAGTACAAGCCTGTCCAAAGCTCCAAGATCAGTGCTATGTCATTTATACCATATCTACTTTCATGTGTGTATATGTGCTGCACTTATATAAATGTGCATGTATGCATGTGTATGCATATGTACACATACATTATACACCTATGTACATGTATGCACAGATATATATGTGTGTGTTTATATCACACATACCAAGAGGAACCAGGAGAAGGGTGACAAAAAATTATCTTGATATAATTGCCTCAATTTCCCACCTCTCTTTGTCTATGTAGTAATAGCCTGGCTGATAGGGCACACTGGCACCAAGGTCCATGCTTCCTCTAACTCTAATGAATACTGCCCAGTAGTTTGTGATAAGATAGGGTTTGTAAATAACAAATCTGGACCTTGGCATCATGGAACAAAACATCTGGATGACTGACTGAATGTTTTCTCCTTCATTAGAGTTAAGTATCCCCTGACTCCAGCTTCTCTCGGTCAACTGAAGCATTCACTCCTACTGGCTCCCCAGAGGCCTGGAAGAGTAAGTAGACGCATCTCTCTAAATGTTCATTTATATCTGAGGTAGGCAGGATTTAGGCCATGTCTATAATCATGTAGCTAAATCAGATAGGACCTGAAGAATGAGAAACACTTTGTTCTCTGCTTTGAATTAACCAGAATGCTCTAATAATGGGAACTTTCATACCTCTACAGTATAATAATAATTGGTGTTCCTAATGATGACCCCACAGAATTAAAGAACCCCTTAGTGTTATCTTAAACATCAGAGAAAAACTTTGTTGTTTTCAAGATAGTTTGGCTATTAAGTGTGCTTAATTGAATTTGAATCCTTTGAAAATACGTATATGCTCACTTTCAATTCAGTTCAATAAACAGTTATTAAATGCCTCCCATGTAGAAAGCACTGTGCTATATGCCCAGAAGGACTTAAAAAATTTAGATAAGATATCATTGACCCCATGGATCTTACCCCTGAGTTAGAGGATTCTTGTTTAGTCATGTCTGACTCTCTGTGACCTCATTTGGGTTTTCTTGGCAAAGACACTGGAGTGGTTTGCTATTTCCTTCTCTAACTTATTTTACAGACGAGGAAACTGAGGTAAACAGGGTTAAATTATTTGTCCAGGGTCACACAGCTAGTAAGTAAGGACAGATTTGAACTCAGGTCTTCTTGATTCTAGGCCTGGCACTCTATCCAATGAGCTACCTAGCTGCTGCAAGAGGATTCTACCTGAACACAAATAGCTATAATACAAAATACACAAATATGTCAAATAAATTCTTGACAATATTTCCCATATTTAGGCCTCATCTGCTTTGACTACACTACCATAGACATGACCAGCAGAAACGCAGCAATAGTCCAAAAGAAGATGTTAATCAATATGGCAAAGATCTGCGAGAACTCTCACTGTGACAATTCTCTCCACCAATTCAGATCACAACCCCTCTATAATTTTGTCTTAAAAAGTTGCCTGTAGCTCTGAGAGGTTACATAGCTTGTCCATAGGAAAGGAAATGTGACTTTTTTTTTAAATGTCTAATAAAAAGCATGAGAAGTATAAGAAAAATACAGGGAGAGATCCCATTGGGACATTAGCAATTCAGGGGATAATAAGAGAGTCTTCCTGGAGAAAATAGCATTTGAGTTGAGTGTTTAAGAGGATGGAGAGGAATTCAATGAGCAGAAGACAGTGGGGGAAAAGGACATCCCCGGCAAAGGGGCACAATGTAAATAAAGGCAAGAAGGTGGAAAAACATGCATGTGGAAGTACTAAGCAAAGATAGTATAGTAAAAAAGTAAGGTTAAAAAAGCAAGGTGGTACATGGTGTACATAGCCTTGAATTCCAGGCCAAAGAAAGGAAAAACGGTTGACTTACCAGACTACCCCATCCTGCAATAGTGATTTGATATATTATTCAAGCCCCTACTATGCCTTTTAGTGCAGCTAGGTGGTGCAGTGGATAGAGTGCCGGCCCTATAGTCAGGAGGACCAGAGTTCAAATCCAGCCACTAATATTCACTAACTATGTGGCCCTGAACAAGCCACTTCACCCTGTTTACCTCAGTTCCTCATCTATAAAATGAGCTGGAGAAGGAAATGGCAAACTACTCCAACATCTTTGCCAAGAAAACCCCAAATGGGATATAAAGAGTCAGACATGACTGAAATAACTGAACAAAAACTATGTCCTATAGGATGTGAAGTGCCCTGAGGACAGAATGCACTACATGTGATTCTTCAGATTCATTGTGACTATCTAGACAAGACTCATTGGGACTGAAAAATATTAATCAACACCTTGATGGAAATAATGATAGTGATCCCACATGAATTCAAAATCCAGAGTAAGTTTTTTGGCCCAAATTAACCAAGCAGTTACTTCAGTTTGTCTACATAGGACCAGCATTCATCACCATTCCGAACTCGAATTTTGCCACCAGATCTTCCACAAGCATACACCTCTCTAATTTCAGGTGGATTATGGAACATAAAATAAATTTGAGTCTATTAGGTTGCATTTCCCCATTGACTTGGATTTGGAAATTCAAATATGTTTCTTCTTCATTATTGACTGACCTTTAACCTTCTTCAGCCTCTGCCTCACACCCTCTTTGATTATGTTCAAAAAGCTGTAAAATCCTTAAGTGTACTGGGGAGCTCAGTGTCTAAGGGGATCTGGCAGTAAACCAGAGAATTGTTTTGTGACGCAGATATTTGCCCTTTCATTTATTTTATTAGCTACAATTTCTATACAATGGATTTTCTTAAGGCAGAGGCACTGAGGCAGCTCAAATACCAAGTTGGTCCCCATACAGCTATCGTCTGAAGCACCATTTTAAATCATGAACCATAAAGATATACCGTCTATAGATACAGCCTATTTGTCTGAAGGAAAATAAGTCAGTAGTTCTAATCATTAATGTTTACACTGTCCAATGTCACAGATTAGTTGTAATAGATCCTTCAAGGAAACTGGCAATGAGACAGAGACTAGACCAGCAATTTCATTGGTAATAGGGAGTTCTCAGATGAGAAAACTCCCTCTACTGGTGTAGGCTGGCATCTTCTCAGCAATTTATAACCTCAAAAGTATTGCCTAGAGAGCAGTGAGAAGTGAACCACCTTGGCCCAGGGCCACAAGGCCAATACAAGTCAGATATAACACTCATACCTAGGTCTTCCTGGCTTTAAAGCCAACTCTCTGTCCAATACACCACATCACCTCCTTGGTAAGAAGAAAGAATTTAGAAATGGACAATCCAAATCTGGGCTTCCTGTTAAAAATAAAATCTCGGTAGCTGATTAAACATTTGACATTTTAGCATACTCTTCTCACAACCCCTTTTTGTTGATTATTAGACTGAGAGGTAGATAGAGTGGAAAAGCTTGTAAAGCATACCTGCACAGGTGAGAGGAAGTGACAGAAGGTGCTGGTCCCCCCTAAGCTGTTCTCCTGACTTTCCTCCTGGACTTTCTTTACAATGCCCCAGAAGCTTCTGCATTCTTCAAATTCCCTCCAGCCCTGGACTTCATGCATTGAAGGACCTTCCACCCATGTGATCCCTCCCTCTGATTGGCTAATTCCTTCCAGAACCTCCATTTTAAGGAGTACAGTTATCCCTTCCACAGTTCAAGGGCCAGGATGGCCCCCAAGATCTGGAAAATGCAGGTAAAAAATTTTGACCTTCCCTTTGTACCAGAGAAGATGTTTGAATTTTTTCTTTTTCTTTTAAGGTGTGTTTGCAGTACCATGTCATAAAATTTGGGTTGATATTATACAATATTATACATGTAGTTTATGCATTTCTGAGTTTTAAACTCTTTCCATGCCATCTGCTGGCCTTTGCATGTCATCTGCAGCTTCTGCAAAACTCCACCCAAACTCTCATTTGATTTCTTACACTGACCCAAGATATATTGAAACTGAGATGGGGAAAGTCACGATGTGAAAAGGAAAGCTGTACACCTGTCCTATCCACCTTCCATGTATTATTGCTCCATAAGCTTCTCTTCTCACTCTCCTCCCAGACTTCCATCTACAATCTGTTATGTGTTGTCTTCTGCCAATAGAATGTAAGTTCTCCGAGGGCAGGGAGTGTCTTTCTTTCTGCTTGTATTTGTATTCCCAGTGCCTGGCACATAATAAGCACTTAATAAATGATTCTTGTCTTGACTAATCAGGGGAGCACACAGCTTCAGGTTGCTGTAAAGTAGCCACTTAGCATAATTTCCTAAAATACTCCTAACCTATGTACTTCGCAGATGACATGTCTAGCTTCCTGAGTAAGTTCATCAGCCTCAGCCACAAGCCCTGCAAAAAAACAAGCCAGGATGGCTAGGAAGGAATTCCTAGAACACCTTCCTGAAATACAGACCCAAAGGTGATGCTTACAAGGAGGATGAAAGGAGAGGAAAATCCTCAAACATCTGTTGTTTGGTGAGCTGAAAGAGGGTGACGGAGAGCAGAGGGGGCAGGAAAAAATGTTAAAGAGATCTCAAGCAACGTGCCACGGCTGAGGCTTGTGAAGAGCGTCCAAGGCTGGCCACACTGCCGGGCAGCATTCAGAAATGAGGTGGTATTTCTTCTTAAGCAAATCTTCAGCTGTATCTGTATGAGACTGTGTCTCTACATCCAGCTGGTTTGTGTGAATCCACTGCTTGTTTGACTTAACTGGATGCTCATTCTCCTTAAAAGAACCCTGTGTGGTTGTATACTAAGCAGACTCACAAACGGGCTATAGTTGCCAATGAAATGACAGTCTTTACTTTATGGCCACAGCCCATGGGGAGGGCTGTTGGTCTGCAGCGCAGCTATCTTCTGTAGCACCATTTAAAAATATTAACCCTGAAGATTACTATCTATAGATACAGCCTGCTTATCTGGAAAAGTTCAGAATCATGAATGTCTGCAAAAAAAAGTTAATGGTGAGGAAATCACCTGTGTTAAAGTGAAAAGTTTTTCACCCACTCCTTTGTCATGAAATTTCTGGTTCCCTTCAAAAATCTTCTTCCCAGTTCTGACAGCTTTAGGCAAATGGTTAATCCATTAAAGGAGAATTTAACTCTATGATCTAGAATATAATGTACATATCCTATAAATCATATATTTCAGTTGTAATATCATAATCCACAATCTGGGGAAATATCATTCAGGTCACTGAAGCTTACATCCACAGTTATTTCTGTTACTTTCATCTAAAAGAAGCAACGCTGTGATTTAAAAGCAAAAACCCAATATCATTTTTTCCATGTATATTTCCTTTGAAAATATTTTCCATTAATGCACTCATTATATTTCTCCTATAACACATTCAGATTACAAATCTAATTTTTTTTAATTGTGGTCATTTGTCGTAGGTTATTTGTATGAAGATATATCCATCATTGGACCTTAAACATGAGATAAGCCAAATGATGATTAAGGATGAGTACAAATGAAAAATAAAAAAAAAACTAAACTACCTTAAACAAATTGAGTGGTTTATGTCTTCAAAACAGATTGTATTTCTTTTTAGAAAAACAGCATATCATAAATGCCTCTTTGTCAAATTCAGTGTCTTTAATTTTAACAGAAAATTAAAACCTTGGAGTAGGAAATACTTGGATTCTATACCAAAAAAAATAAAATCACATTTTTCCTCTTTTCCTTTCAGTTTATCTGAAATAATCTTCAAGATCAGAATAAATATTTTCATATTAAACCATGCTCCCTAGGATCCAAATTATTTCTGTCTTGTAAAATTTGGAATCCAGTTTCCAATATTGTCTCCTACTGAAATATTCTTGTCACTAGCATACTCGTCTATTGTCTTTACAGAATAAAGCTCTGTGCTCTGTAGTGGTAGCCTTTATTCTATGACAGTAGACCCTTGCAAGCATTATAAGATATTTTGCTCAAGACTAAAGGAAATATAAGAAATATTCTCTTTCCAGTATACTGCAAGGTCCTTGTGTTTATTTACCAAAGGGAAACTGCTTAACCAGCACCTTCAGCCTAAAGCCAAAAGTGACCCTTCCAATGTAATCATACCTTTGTTTCAAAGCTTTCTACTTCTACTATTTAAATGTTTTCCACAGAAGAATCCAAATTAGCTATTGGATAAAACCTATTCACAGAACAGATGACGGAGTAAAATATAGAAACTAAAGTGAACAGACTACTATGAAAACAGCTATCAAGGTGAGGGGTGGGGGAGGCTGTGTTATCTATTCCCAGGGATAGTCTAGTCTATGAATAGAATTCATCCTCTGTGTTGCAGATAATTTTTTTTCTGCCCAAGTATACAGTGTAAATGGGTCCTCACCAGAGTGGCAACTAATTTCTGAAAATCCTCTCAAGGTCAGTTTAGCCTGCCCGGGAGAGGGAAGCAAATATTTAGTATCACAGAATCTCAAAGTTGGACAAAATCTTACTCCCAGTCTTGTCTCCTAACATATACAGGAATCCACAGATTAATAGATTATTAGCCCTGGAAGGGCTAGAGGGACCTAGAGACCATGCAGCCCAATTCTTTAATTTTATAGATGAGATCCAGAGAGGTTGAGAAAGCTTCATGTAAGGGTAACAGAAGGAACAACTCCTCAGCCAAAGCCCAGTGACTACCCAGCATTTTCCACAGGTGATCATCCTTCCTCTGCTTGTTCAGCTTACTAGGGAATAGGAATAGTGCTAATTGCTAGGCAGCTTTCCTCACATGGAAATAGAATCTGCTTCAATATAATTTCCACCCACTGTTCCTAGCTCTCTCCTCAGGAGACCAGGAGAATTAGTCAAATCTCACTTCTAAAGGGCAGCTTTTTAGATATTTGAAGACGGTTATCGTGCCCATCCCCACCAAGTTTTTCCTCCTCCAGGCTAATAGTCACAATTTCTGTATCCAGCCCAAATATGACATAGGATTTAGAAGTGACAGGAACTTTAAAGACAATCAAATCCAACCTCCCTCTTTTTATAGATGAGGAAACTGAGGTTCAAGGAGGTTTGCCTTATCTAGGATCATATAGCTAATAAATGTCTGAGGCAGAATTTGAACACAGGTCTTCCTGACTCCACATCACTATTCTATCCATTATGCCACCTAACTGCATATTTTCCCAGACATAAAGCTATCCTAGCTTCCTCATCCCCATCTGGATCAGCTCTAGTTTGTTAATATCTCTCTTTCAAAGTGGTGCCTAGAATTCAACTTGTAAAATATTCATCTGTCTTCCCTTGGCTGTCTGGAAACAATCTCCCCTCCACAGCCAAGTTTTGTGTGTGGATAGTTAACAAGTTCTAACTTTCCTGCCTGACCTTTTAAGTATTTGCTACATCCACCAGGCCTCTGGCTGCCTGACAGCTAATTTCTGGGAGAGAACGAGCAGTTAGTGGCTTTCTGATTCACCTACAAGTTCTCTGCCCACCTGGCACCCTTGTGTGCCCCTCCTATGTTTCCCTAAGCCTGGATCCTGCCCCAGGAAACAGCTTCCTCTTCCTCTTTTTCCCTTCTAGTCTCTGGGGCTAAGACAACTTACCCAAATTGGAAAAGCATGGAGCCTGAAACCCTTGAAGGTTCACTAGAAGATCCTGTTCCTTCCCCCTACAACCTGCTCAGCAGCTGACTCTCTCTACATCCACCTTCCAGACCTTCTCCCAGTCATAGACCAGATCCTTGACCTCTGCTGAACCCCCGGGTGCGATTAGCCCAAAGAAGAAGGAATGGAATTCAGTCCTAGGGTGATGAAATGGGCAAACTAACCTGAGGGATTCAGCCTGGCTAAGGCACGTAGGTTGGTAGAGTATCCAGCCTATGGATCTACTGCTAGTCCATGGAGCTGAACTGGCATATGCCAACCCTCTCGCCAGCTCCCCAGGTATCTTGAAACTGAAACCAAAACAGGGAGGGCAGTTTCCCATTCCCTCCCGGCATTTCTCCGCAGCATCTCTATTTTGAAGGTTCACCTTTCGTCCACCTGCTCGCTCCCAGGGCTCACTCTCCACCTCTTTCCTTCCCGATTTCCCTGTTGGTAGCCTTCGGTGCCCAGGGTAAGCAAGGGGCCAGCCCCTCTCTGGCCCGGCCTTACCGGTTACAGACGCTGCCGCCGCTGCTACAGCTCGTCTCCAAGTCACCCGAGGTCCCTGCAGTAGCACAGGTGGCCTAGACCCTCAAAGGCTCATCCCGGAGCCCCTGCTCTCTAGAGAGCCCGTGAGAGATGGATGGAGAGGGACCTGGGGATCGCGCACGCAGACTTGGATATCCCTCCAGCCAGGGCCCCTGACCGAGAGCACAGGGGAGAAGGGAGTGAGATGTTGGAGGGGCTACAGTGGAAGTGGTTGTCCTGATTGGGGGAATGGGCTGCAAGGGACTCCGCGAATGCTTGCGTGCGTTCCTGCTGCTGGGGAGTAAAGTGGCCACTGTCTCTGACTCGCGAGTGTCTCCAGCCCGCGCGCACCGAGAGGCAGTGAGGCGTGAGACGAGGGCAGGTCCGTTCCCTGCCTGCTTGACTGCCTTTGCCTGGGCTCCCTCTCCACCCCCTCCCTCTTGCTCCCCACTTTTCCTCCCGCCTTTCTTTCCCTCCTCCCGCCTCTCTGCGCCTCCCCCGCATTCTACCCCCGCCTGGAGCCTCTTCTTTCGCCTCGCCAGTCCTATTCATTCAGTTTGCCGTCCTTGCTCGCGATCCCCATCCCTTCTGTCCTCTCCACTCTCGCCCCTGCCCTGCCCTCTGTCTTTTTTCTTCCCTGTACTGTCTTCCCCTTTTTTTTTTTGGCTATTGTGTCCCTGGTTCCCCATCTCGCTTTTCAATTTCATTGACGCCTTTTGATCTAAGCGGTGCGCTCCTTGGATTGTGTTGCTCCATTTTCTTCGCTCCCAATCCCCCAGTTCCCGGAGCCGTCCACTCTCCATCTCGATTCATTTCTCGCTGACTCTTCTTTCCCCATTTTTCGTATTCTCCATCTTTGCTACTATCTCAATACTTCCGGCGCCTGGTTTCCATTCACCCCAGTCTTAGCTCCATCTTCCTTCTTATTTCAAACCCACCGCTTCCTGTGGATCCCGTCTGCGGATTATACTCTTTGCCCAAAGCTGTTCATATCTCTCCTCCAGTAATCTCCTGACCCTCCCAGCCTGGCCGGTCGGCTATCCCAACAGGGTACATTCTGACTATTTTCCTCATCTACATACCACGTGTATATTCTGCCTCAGATTATACACACTGTTTTTAGTGCAGCACCTGTTTTCTGCGGCCCAATTTCTTCTCAGATCCTGCTTTGTATTTATAGATATGCTTTCTCTACTTCATACTACCTTCTTTCATTATCGTTTATCCTACAGTTATACTTCTGGTCGTCTCTCTGCCCGATTTGAATAGGTTCCCTGGACTTCCATTGGTTTCTCTTTCCTGTCCCCAGTACTCAGTCTTTTCCTCCTCCTCCTCCTCCTCCTCCTCCTCTTCTTCTTCTTCTTCTTCTTCTTCTTCTTCTTCTTCTTCTTCTTCTTCTTCTTCTTCTTCTCCTCCTTCTTCTCCTCCTCTTCCTCCTCCTTATTCCTCTTCCCTCTCTCCT